CCGCCGATTCTGTAGCTATTCATTGGTGACAGAGTTTTACGGAATATTCTGTTTAGTTATTGAGTTTATAATGAATTTCTTTTTGTGTAAATTTACTTGAAGTTTGAGATTTGTTTTCATGATTTAGCACACAATTTATGATTGAGATTACTATAAAAATTAAGTATTTGATAACCATATTCCGTATTGTTGTAAACACAGCTTAATCACTTTTAATTTAAATTAAATTATTATCAACGAACTTATTAAAAATATATATAATTTTATTTGAAAATATACTAAAAAAGTAAATAATAAAAACAATTTATTAGTTTGACTTAACACTTGTTTAATTTATAAATTTGTTAAATAATTATAGCAGTTAACACCATATAAATGTTTTATTATGTATAACTTTATTACAACCGCAAACTTTTTTTAGTATATTGATTAAAATCTTGATTGAAATAAACCATTTATAATTATTGTTTTTATTTTACAAAATGTTTTTAAATAAAATAGTTGGTTCCTTAATTAAAAGTTAAATAACTAACATAATTAAATTTGATTACTATTTACTATTAATTTAAATAATGTTATAATACTTTTATGTTTTATTTTATAAAAAATAAATAAATAATTTCATTAATTAATTCTGGAATTACTTATAAATGAATAATCATAATAAATAAATTCTTCTCATTAACAATAATAATAATATTCAATTAGAACTTGAAATGAACATGACCAAACATTGCAATGAGTTGTAAAATCACATTTATTAAATTCATTCAATAATATCGCAATACTTGCACTCTTTATCAAAAGCCATACCAGCCTTATGTCCAGCCATTGTAAACTTATCATTGTCATAATAATGTTTACCCGGGGTATACACCGTACGGACTGATCCCCAGCACGTGGAGTCACAGGTGCCGCGTATGGAAAACAGTCCATCTCTGGTCACAGACACTTCGGTCACACCGGACCGGGACGTACACGAGCCCCGGCTAACAGTGCCGAACCCGTATATGTATATAATGGCGCCCAAACACGGCTCGTTCACCACTACACCCACGTTGCTGTATAACTCGGTGCCTATGAATAATTCAAAAAACCTAGCTTATTAAATGATAATAGTGTACTAGGTACAATTTGTTTTTGTTTTTGTTGTGCAAATACCGTTCACATCCCTCAGCGCAAAGTGAGAGTCAATAACCTTTAGCTGTATTTTATGGCCGTTCGCGTCCACCCGTGCCGTACCGACTGCCGTATAGTTGACAGGACTCTGGTATACGGCGTTGCACTCAATCAAGTCATGGGTCTCGAGCTCCTGGCGGCTAATCGTCTTGAAGTATGACATCTCGTCGCACTCGTAGTGACTCGTTGTCCGCGACTCTTGTTTACCATCTATTCATTTGTTTTAATTTATAAATAAAATAATATTTTCATTAATTTATCTCATTTCGCAGATAACTTATTAGACTTATAGTACATTGAATGTTGTTTTTCTTAATAATTTTATCGTCAATATAGGTATGAGATGATGGTAGTAGTGGTGGAGGCGGTGGTGGGCTGTCTGGTAGGGGAAGTTGTGGTAGATTTAACGCCAACGCCGGCACTATTGATATAATAACTAATATAATCCGATTATGCATTTTATAAACAATTATTTTGGTATAACTTTTAGTTACTGTAATATAATCGCATGTAATTCTACCATAATGACTGTATGTTTCCTAAAGGATTAATATAATTAGTTATTTTTAATTTTACAAATGTTTTACTAAATGTTCGAGCATATTTTATAGTTTTGTTTATTTTCAAAAATTTTTAAAAAATACTATATTTAATTAAAAAATATTTATTAATTAACAATTTATTCAGTCAATATGTGTAGAGATTGTAATGAATTATGTTTATGTCAATCCATAACAAAGTCATTGATCCTAACCTTAAATCTATATAAAAGTGTTTATAAATTATCGCAAACTATTACTGACTTATTTGTACAATAATTGCTATTAGATATAGTGTACTGATTATCGATAGTACAGTGTATAGAATTTGTATTTACAAAATCAGAAAATTTATACACAATTTGTTAACCCATAGGAGAGAAAGAAAAAAGCTCAAGATAAGAAATTTATTGAATTTATTAAATATGCACAAAAAAGTTGTTTTTTATTTAGCAGTACAATTTGTACTGTACAAACATCTCGTGTAGATTTATCTACAGTAGAGTTAACACATGTTATCAAAGAGTGAAAGAAAACTTTTAAAATTGATAAAATAGTCGACAAGTTTGTGTTTTCATCACAAAAAACCCCACAATTTTCCCTTTAATTTAACCTCAATTTTAACTCTCATTGCAAAAACAGAGCCTCTGTTTAATCATAAGAAGCTTAATAACAAAAACTGATTAAAAACGTGATAAAAATTTTCCAAACATACATGGGTTACATCAAAAAACCCAAATGGTAAAATACTAACAAACTTGCACAATCAGGATTGTCCAACACTATAACCCATGGGTACAAAGGGTGCCCACCATCTGCGGGCACATCCCAATGGGGCACCAGGAACAAACTATGTCGCAATACATACACACACACACACACACACACACACTCTAAATCATTAATAAAAGTTACTTATCATGATGTTTATAAATTATAATGGAATTTTTAGGGCATTTTTTAGTGCATAAACGAGCGATCACTCGATAAATACGGATGAAAACCAAGAAGGTTAGAAAATCCATTTAATAGATAAGAGCGCTTGGTTGGGGCGCACCCGTACCCCAATCCATGACCCAATTAAATAGCTATTAATATAATTGCAATCGTTTTAGCAAATAATTAAAACAACACTTTTAATTCATTAAATCCGCATTTATTTAGCGCTATATTTATGACTAAATGTATAATTAAACGTGATTTTAATGTATACTTTGAATATGTAATAATAAAAATCATCATGATTATATTAATGCATATATTAATGCATAATACAGTTGGGGGAGAGGGAGGGCAGCGAACGAGGTATTTAAGGGACATAAACATACAATATTTACATAATTAATAAATAAATGTATAGTTTGTGTACAGTATTGCATACATTAACCGATAAATTATAAATAAATAATTTTAAATAAACTTTAAATACAAATGTTTATACCGTGTTATTAATGTTTTCACTTAGAATTACAGTCAATAGTAAATAATTAATAAATATAGTGTGCGTTCGTTATAAGCGCCCATAAAGTAGTGAAATAATTAATATGTATTAACTATTAATAATCTCAACGACTCTGAGGTATATCTATAGAGACGAGACGTTTTTGGCAAAACTCCCGATAAATGCCGTGAATGGCCGACAGGGCGTCGGACGCCATCTCAAAGCTGGTCTCGCGAGTCGACTCTTCGCGCAAATGTCGCAGATATTCGTCGCAATTATCTCTCAATTGTTGCAAACAGTTGACCAGCGATGGCGTGAACAGCGCTTCCACCGACGCGCCGGTCGACAGACAGAGGATCTGATTGACCAGAGAGATGGCCGCCGATAGGGCGCCGGCTCTGTGGCCGCTGGCGATCACGTAATCAACAGAATCGCCAAACGAGTCGCACACATACCGGTGAAACAGTCGCAACAGTTCCGGCCGATTGGCCACGAGTTGGGTTTCGGTAAAGTCTTCGCCCGCGAGTGACAGCGTGTGTATAATAAGCCACAGATAGTCGACAAACTCCACGTTCTCGGGATCGTCGGCCAGCAGTTGATCGGTGGCCGACAACAGTGTCTTCACGCACTCGTATCGGCGGTCAAAGGCGAGCCACACGGCGGCCATCGTGTCGTCTAAATATAGCATTTTGTTTAACAACAAGATTTCACTCCGGAGTAGATCACAGTTGAGACAGTTCTCGAGCGTGTGGTGTATTGTCGTCAGGAATTGGTCGCCGCGCTCTTTGATGGCCGCCAGCCATCGGTCCTGCGTTTCGCCATTGCTTAGCGATGCGCTCACTATTCGCACCACTTGTATGACAAACGGTGTGTCCGAAGAGCTCAACGATTCCAGTATTAATTGTCTATGAAATGACAAACAATGGCTATAATTATGACCACATTATCGCCCAATAAGACAATACCTAAAGAGTGGTCTATTGGCCAGATTCACACATATATCACGATTGACGGCAATGTTGGCCAATATTCCGGCACTTATTTCCTGCAAAAACAAGGTCTACATTAATATCTGTCACTAATCATAGCCACACACGAGTGGTGGCCAGCGATGGCTATCATACGGCAAATCGGGGCGAATTGGTCCGCATTAGTATCGTCTCGAAGAGATCGATGGCCTTATAATCGTTGAGAAACGCCATCACATCCTCATTGGTAGACATATCCCACAGTATTGACAACTCTTCGTCCGTCCGGTCGTCCAGTTCTATGGGCTCTTGAGGTCCGAAAGCGGTCACCACCGCCGACGACGACGACAGGCGCTCATTATCATCGCCAACAGCACTGCCATCAGCGCCGCCATTAGTGTCCGCACTCTTCTCGCCGTTGATTATCTATAAGAGAGGACACCGTATGAGTGATTGTCTGCCGCTTAAGACATTGAGTGAAGACATACGTTGACAGTATTGATGAGACACTGGAAGAGCCAGTGTTTGCTGAAGACAGTGTCGCCAATGTTGTCGCCCTCTCCCGCCTCCACCCCCTCCTCCCTGTCCTCGTCATTGTCTACTCTGTGGTCATTGTCTGTGGCGGCGGTGATCATCGGTTCCGAGCGGTGATGGTCTTCGGGCTCAGCGATGGACAACACGTCGACCAATCGTTTGTCCAAATCCTGACCGCCGTTACAATCGGTGATCACTTCGCGCGACATATCATCGCATCTGTGGTTAGAAATCAATTGATTTTTTGATAATTATTTTTGTGTTTAAATAATATTAATATTTAATTAAAACTCGTTTTCATTACGAAAACAAAACTCATATTAAAAACACTTTTTTTATTAATAAACAAAATGTTT